CATAAAAACTCGGCGATTGGAAAACACCTTTTGGAAGCCCACGGGGACATAAGCCTCCTCAACGAAAGCCAGTTTCGAATTCTCCGAAAGTGCTAAGGGAAATTTGATTGCCTCGTCTATGAGATGCTTTGCATAAAGGAACGGAATCCAAACTTGAACACGCAAACTGACTCCATCCGTGCGAAACTCTTTGTTTAACTTTAAACATTTTAACACATTCATTGAACTATTGTTTTACTGACTATACATTTTTTATCAACTATCATTTTGACTTGATAATGACGTTAGCTCAACGTGGAAACGTCGTCGTTTTTTAACAACATTTTTAACTTTCTCAATATGCTTAGAAATACTTTATCGTAATTTTTTACAGTTAAATGTTTAGAAAAATCCCTTCTTATTCGTAATGTACATTCATAAATTATATTCATTAGTAGCTTTATGGCCACAAAGAATAATTATTATCAAACGAGCAGTTTGAAAACAGCTTTCTCACATTCTTTGTTTCTTTGAAAGGGTTTTTGATTCATTCTTATCTGATATATTAAAACAATTATTAATTAATTTTTGTCAGTTAACTGAATAAAAACAAAATATGTTTCCTGTACCTTCACTCAAGGTGCTGGTCACTTCATCATTGACTGAGCTATAAATATGATCTCTTCTGCCAGTTCTGGGAAGTGTGTTGCCTTGAAGTCCATCCCTCTTTCTTGACTTCTTGTTTCTAGTAAACCTTACAGCCTCCTTACATTCATCAGTTTTGGGTGCAATACGCTTTGTTCCGATGTACACCCGTTGATGCCCAAGTGAGTCCAATGGAATCTCATATATTTGGAGTTCCGGAGTTCCTGGCTCCTGGTTAGCTTCACGAAGAAACAAAGAAACTGTAAGTTTCAAAGAAAGTAGCTGCACATGACAATAGTGGGATAAAACTTCAATCTGTTAATAACTGATTAGGACTTAGTAAACACGTAACTCTTTCCCACTCCTGCTCCCCTTCCCCTTTGCGCCCCCCCACTCCCAAATGAAGTTAACATCTCCTACAATCATTTTCATGTGTGTTCTACTGAGTCCTTGTTTTGGATTTAACCACCTGTCATTTTGCCAATCCCACATTTAAATGCCTTTTGAAATGGAATAAGAAATACTCTGTTACTGTATATTATTATAAACTCTTGATAACTAATGGAAACGTCTGCAATGCACTAATTCTTAACTTACTTGCCAAATTATCAAGAAGAAATTCAGATTCCCTGTAATAAAGAAAAAGCAGCAAATGGTAAGTAAAATTAAATTACAGTAACTTGTGGAGTATTCTACAAATTCATTTCTTATGTGTAATGGCAATGGGGTTTCACTCTCACGTTTACATTTCAAATTATCTAAAAACTTACATCAAAGACTTTTAGTTTACACAATAGGTTTTACAAAACAATCACTTCTGGTATGAAATTTGAGAATGGCACTAACTAATCACAGGCCTTTGGCAGTTAGCACTGTTACAAAGTTACTTCCTCTTGCCGTTTAGAGTGGCCACCTTTTATTTGTTCAGCAGCATTTTATCATTAACAGGGGTTAGTGTAGACGACAGAAGATCAGGATTAAAATATCAAATTTCCTCCCAATTCTCATATTTAGTACCTCTCCTACACCACACCCCAAAATAATAGGCAGTGCTGAATCCCTTCCCTTAATCCCTTCCCTTAACCCCTCCACACCCAGAGTCAAATCACCCATCTGTCAACTAAAATATAAATAATATTATTGCATTTTTTACAATTACCCATTCACAATTTGATAGTACATCCCTGTAAATAGTAGTGTCAACATTTTGACGATGTATAGTGGTTTTCATGTTTACATAACTTCCTCTGATAACTGATAATGTGTGTAAAAATATTTTTAACAATATTCACCTTGTGAAAGCAGGGCTTAGCTCCAGCTCATTGTCATCCCAAACCATATATGAGCCATGGTTTTTCCTACAGAAATAAAAGTGACAAAGGGAGGAGAAATGAGGGTTAGAAAAAATGTTAAGAACTGTGATGTGCTAAAGGATGGAAACAAATCTAAAGGGGATCAATAATAACACATAATATGGAGCATTGTCAGTGTTAAAAATATACAATAATAGTAAAAGAGTTATCAAATTTAAAGAAAAAATATGATTGTACTCTATCAAACCAAAAAGGACTCTCTAAAAAAATATGAGACCATTTCTAGGATTATTTGTAAAATCATCATATAAAGAGATACAGACAAGATTAAGAACATAACTCAAACAAAACTCTCATTCTGAGTTGCCTTAGGTGACAGTGAATTTACAAACTTTATTTCTATGAATATTGATGAATAAAAATTAAGGCAAACACAGCTACGCAAACGTACCATCTGTCCAGCTTTGCATAAACAACACACGCTATTATAGCAATAATAAAGATGAGTCCAACACCAATGAGGATATAAACCCAGAAAGGAATATCAGCTGAAGAAAGAAAATGCAGAAAAAGCCTTATGTCCTGCACACTATAAAATTAATATGATCCTAGTGAACACAATACAGTACAACCCTACTGAAATGCAATATGCAAAGAGAAAAAAATAACATTAAAAAAAAAAAAAACAGGAAGCAGCAATTGATTAGTTTGGGTGGTTCTGGGTGGTGGTCAACAATATCCTGTGTGCTTAATGTTAATTGCATGTGAGTACATGGAAAGATTTACACAAATGAAGTATGTAAGCTGGCTATCTGACTAGCTTTTCTGAAATTTAAGCAACATTGCATAAGTCAAGAGCCATGTCAATTCTTAAAAGTTAAAAAAGTTTGCTGAAAAAAAAGTTGTTGGAATATAGCATTAACTTTGCCACAGAGCATACAAATCCTAAACTAGGAGTCAGTTTTTGTTTCTGAAATCACCCATGTACAGACCTAAGTTCAGATAACTTTTTTGTATGCTAAGAGAGAGTCTAACAAATCCTTTTAAGTTTTCAAACTGGCTTCCAAACCACGATAAAATCTCTCCCTTAAAAACATTCATGGTCTCTAGTCAGTCTTACTAATTACATCACGATCTCCACCTAGTTCCCATTACCATTTTGAAAAATAATGTATTTACTGATAAGGTCTGTTCTGTCAATAATGCAAAGGGTTTTGCAAAGGGTTGCATAATTCTCCTAGGTAGTGTATTTCTCTCTTGAGTAGTCAGGGGAATACTCATAGAGTGAACATGGAACTGGTGCAAGCAAATGATTGATGTAATGTTTCAAGTGACTTGGCTTGCAAAACGATGTTACACTTCGCCTCATTATAAATCCCTCTTTCAAAGCCAGGTTAGTCATCTCAACCCTTTATATATTTGTGGCTTAGTATCTCATGGTGTTACCAGGAAATATCCATCAACACCCACCACAGAGGGTTTGTTTCATGCGTTCCCTTAATATTTTTTGGCCTTCAAGACCCTGGAAGTTTCAGTGACCATCTGTGATATTGGTCTGGATATTTTTTCTGGAACTATATCATTACCTCCATCATCAATTCGGTTCGCAGGAGATGAAACTACCCTAACAACTGGCTTGGTACTTTCTGGTTTCTCCGAGACACTATTTTCATCCTTTGTTGGAGTAATAGGGGCTGACGATCCTTTTCCTGCATTCACCAGAATTCCTCCTATCGTCCTTGTCGTTAACCCGTGAGTTGTTGGTGCATGGGTAGAATTTAATGCAGCTGGATTACTAGAGGTGTTAGTTGCATTAGTTACCGCCAACTGATTACCAACTCCATTAGTTGATGTTAGACTTGATGCATTGCTGGACAATGCTGATGAATTACTGCCTGTGAAAAAAGAAATCACAAGAAATTTAGTTATAATAAAATTAATTATCATTCAATGAATTTTTTCTTCCTTTTCATTGACTGAGAGCCCACCACGTGACCTACAAATAACTGGCAGCCTACCAATAATGGCCTGCTCATGCATAACAGCACCTAAATGTGCTTTGCTGCAATTAATTTTCTGCTCATGTGTAATCACTACCATGCTCTTGTGTGAAAAATGGCAGATTACTTCCCCGAGCTGTGACAAGAGAGTGGTTTAAATATGAAAACAAACTTGGTGATCAAATGATAAAATTTATTATTGAACTTGGTTACCACAAAACATCCGGATTTGCCATTGCCGTACAGATCTATTCTTTATCTCAGCCTTTGGCTTTGGAAAATAATTGATCTGCTTGCCACTGACAAATGAGGATATATATTTCACTCCACCTTGTCCAATAATTGTTAATAATTAGTACTGGTAGTTAAAGTGATTTAGAACATGACAGAAGATAGATGTTTAAGGTGGATTCCGCCCAAAGTTCGAACAATAAGTGCAAAAAATCTACTAAGTACTAAAAATCTACTCTCAGCAGAATAACTTTTTCAATACTATTTAAAACATCTGACTGTAATTCGTTTCTCTAGATGACCCCACAATTAAATCTCCAAGCTTTCTCAAAAAATTTAATGTAACACCCAGTAAGAATGCTATGTGTGTTATAATTGTGTTTTCAACTAACACAAAATGTCCGTTTTAATTGAAATATAGATAACTTCAAGTTCAATTTTCGCTTGCAGGGCCTGTGAGCTTGAGAGCTCAAGTCTCTATAAAACCTTCTTACTTTTATTCAAAATATTACCATGCTATGAGGTTGTTTTTAGTAACTTTATTTTTGCCATTATTGCTCGAATGTTCTGTGGAAATCATCTTAAAAACTTTATTAAACGATATTATCTTCAGTGTCTGAGTGCCTTGAAGCATTTTGTTCAATAAGAGAAAATTCAGGGTGGTGGTTGGTTTTTTCACATGATAAAGTTACCATGGCAACTACTTTTATCCAACACAGTAAATAATTTGAATCAAAAAGTGTGAGTACACAAAAATATATAAGGTAAACTGTTTGTCATCTATCAAGTCCAGCAACCCAAGTAAGATATGGAAAGATTTCTTCAAAGCAGCAACAACCTGATCACTTGTTGTTGAAAGGCTCTCCCCCCTGAAAAACTGGACCTCTGAGAAAATAGTTAATTTAATGCGTAATTTTACTACTAATGGCATTCATCAGGTAACAGTTAATTAACACAGGAATAAATACTTTTAAATTTGATAAACATATAATTTTCTGATTTATAATAAATAATCAAATGCATTTATAACATGTCAATTGTTCCATACTAGAAATATCAAATAAATGAAGCAATTCTTCATAGTGCCCAATTACCACAATGAAGAGGTCCTTATTTCAAATCACTCTAACTTGAGAACTTGTGGTTCACAAAAGCTTCCGTAATCAATTTCAAAAATGCGTTAGAGTGTAACAACGTCTATGATGTTCTTTTTAATTAACACACGCAATTTGTTGAACTAAGCGTATATAAGATGCATAATTTAAAAAAAAAAACAACCTAAACAAAATAAAATTTTGGCAACATGACATTGAAATTTAAGATAAGCATCTTATTCTTATCAACAAACATCTTTCGTTTTTAATAGGCTAAAGTCGTTTCGGACGTGACAAAGGAACCGGAAAAGTGGGCTACAAAACAGTGCTAAGTTGGAAGGTTGCCAGTCATAGACACAAGACTATCCAAAATAAATGAAAACTCCGAGTGTTTCAATCAAATGAGATAGTTGCTCCTCACAATTTAAGCAGCTTTCAACGATAATTTGTTAATACTGGCAGACCATCACCTCTTCACTCATTACGTAAAACATCAATATGGCAACATTCACACATGTGTAAACAACGTTCCTCTGAAATAAATGTACAAGATGTATTTTCGCCTCTGAATGAAACTTTGTGCTTACAGAATGTAAAAACATAATGTTTGTGTGTTTCCTAATCTAGAAATATTGGCATCTTCGAAACGCGGAAAAGGAAAGAAAATCTTTAAGACTAATCCGATCGATAGGATTAGAAAAATCGACCGTGTCCACAAATGAACGAAAATTCAAAACCGAATTAAGCAGGTCGATAGGCCATTGTGCAAAAATCGTATCTTAAATTTTGTCGAATATCTCAATAGAAATCGTAGAATAGCGATGCTGAGTCAAAATTCATCCCACTATCTATATTACCAAGTGCCCTACATTAAAATACTCCCACCTATTGTATGAAAAGTGTCAAATACGTGGGCCAAATTTATCAACAACGAGCGCCCCTCGACTCGTCGGCCTCTCTTACTTCAATAAAAGTTGTTTTTCTTTGCAAACAGCCGGTAAGCCTCACAAACTATCAACTGTTTAGATACATAAAAACAACTGCTTACCTTCAACAATTAAGGGCTTCCAGAGAAATAACAGCTGAAAACCAGCCATATAGAGAAGCAATGTCGCCATAACGATTCTACAGAATAATTTTCCAAGCTTTGGTGAAAACCGCAGTTTCCTTGCGCTCAAGTGAAAACTTTCCACGTGAACAAGTCTTCATCCATAACTGCTACAATCCTTGCATGTAACATAACGCATGGCTATAGGGAAATGTCTGTTGTAACGTACGATGAAGACTCCAGTGAAATCTGTCACAAAAGAGTCAACAAATGAGTCTTTTGGCCGCGGTCATCGTCTCCGGAGGAAATCTTATTACTCTTTGGGGAGGTATGCGAACCTTCTGTTTAAATAATTGACAGTCGAAGGCTTTAAGGTTCGGTAGTTTCCATTATCCCTCCTCAAACGAGCGTATAAAGGCGATGTTGTTTACACCCAGAGACAAACCTGCCTTCGAAGCAGAAGTTCTAAACACTCGACGGATACTGGACAACAACCCCGCAACACCAACCGGAAGCTGTACAAAACTTTCCCAGCCGGGGTCTTCTGGGCTCGGATTACAAAAATGTGACGTATTTCCGGGGCAGTTGTTCGAGCGACAGGAAACGAGAATGTTTTGGAGAGCAAAAAGGGTGAAAAAGATAAAGTGTGGAAGTATAAGGCAACGTTACTTTTTGTGATAAGAATTTTCTCGAGATCTAGAATCGGTTATGATTTTTTTGATGTTAAACTGGCCCTCCTACTGGTAAAACCTATGAAACAGGCATGCCGCTGACCCAAACGTACGCACGCCCACTTTGTAAATACCAATATGGCGGAAATTTCGTGAAACGTCTGAGAGAAAGAGTACTTGATACTCTTCTTTGAAGGTTTTTGATAGGTTGGGACCAAGCGATAATCACTCATTTGATAATGAAGAAACAGTTTTATCGCGTGAAGCAGCTGGCCGATCAGAGAGTTGGAAGGTAATAAACAATAGCACTTCATAAACACAGAACATGCTGAACGGAAGTCAAGCTTTTGATCTCAATTTGTATATTATTGATGCGGCTGTAACGTTTTGCCCTGGGCAGCTGAATCCATTCTAACATTGTACGTGGCGGTCAGCATATTATAAGTATTGTGTATTATTTTTTTCATTTACTAGAGCGGAGAAGACCGAGATTTTAACAGAAGATCTTCAGCATGTGAGTAATGTGGTGTTTGCCTTTGTTTCTAAGATCTGCTTCATAGAAAATGTGCTTTAAAATCGAAATTGCATTGAGAGGAATATTTTGGTTTCGTGCAATAGTTTTGAAAACAGCTTGGAGACATTCAGTCAAATTTTGAGGTACATTTAAACTTGAAATGTAAACCATCCTGCATTTCAAGCCACAAATATTCATTTTTTGGAATAATTTTCCCATCATGGTTATTGATCCCACTGCCCCTAAGGAATAAGTAATAATATTGTGTGGTTTTAGAAAATATCCCACCCCAAGGAAGGTTTATTAGAAATTCCAAAGAGGAGGGGAGGGGGATTCGAAGGGTGGTCTCAAAAGGAAAGGTCCCCTATGTAAGGAAATGTATGAACCAAAATTGGAATTTCTAAAGGGGTTGGGGTTCAAACCAAAACAACTTGTTTTAGAGAGGCATGGATATTTTCTGGAATGACACCCTGGGGGTGGGACTCAGGGAAGCTTGTCATCCAACTTAGGGATATAAATCAAGGATTCTGTTCTCACCTAGCTAGGTTGCTGATGATGAAACATCACTATTTTTAGCTGTCAAAGTATCATTTAGGGTGGGCTCGAAGAGATCAATAGAATAATGAATTAAAGAAACTTTCTTATTTCCGTTTTTAAGCTCGAGTTTTTGGGGTAGAAGGTATTGGAGTGTTTTATAGCAAATTATACAGTAGCAGGAAATAGGTTCTCCAAGGCTGGTATTAAATGAGATCCCAGCTTAGAAAAAAGATCATGGAAATGCAGGCTTCACCTCTATAATAACTTGTTTGATCTCCAACAGTACAAGGTTGATTATTAAATGGGGAAACTGTAGGGAAATTTGATTCTGTTGTTCCAGAAATCAACCTAACCCACCCTGCCCACTGAAGGCCTTTAGGCTCAAATTTCCCACCTGTTGTGACTGAAAATTTCAGTTTAGCTTCATGCATAATTCCTTTAAAATTTTGACCTTCCGTGAGCTGTTTATAGCAAATGTTAAGGCAGAATAAACTGTTGCATGGGGAGTGTTCTTTATCTTATAGAGAAAGTGCAATCTCTGTTCAGGTCACTGTTTAATCTCCGTCTTAGCAGGGCCCAAGACTATTCTTAACACTGTGGCATGGATGCTAGTAACATCAGATTTTACGACCCTAAAATTTTTTTTTACAGTGAGATGATCCGCTAGTCTGGTTTTGGTACTGTATTTATGTTGCATACCTCAATACTACCTGCTCTTGAGATTTCTGTACTATCCTATCAATGTTTAATGTCTCAGGATTAGCCTTAAATATTTTATTTGATATGACTGTTTGCAGGTTGAGAAAACAGTGGATAAGATCAAGCATGCATGCCAAACAACAAACAAGAGATTAGCTGCTTCCATGCAGGGTACTGGAATGGATTTAGACAAGAGACTGGTGAGGACAACAGTGTGACAATATTAACCATTCATTTGAATCAATGTTTATATTTGAAAGGACAAAATCCAGTCAATATGCAAATACAAACATTGGGATCCATCCTACCATAGTGCTGGAGGGTTGACAGAAATACATGTACCGTAAACTTCCAAAAGTAACGACCCCCTGAAAGTGATATCAAAAAGTTGTGCCTGCTAATAAATCCCGAAAGTACATGTAGCAAGCCCCAGAAAGTAGCGACCCCTCTGAAAGAAGCAAGCCCACCCCTCCCTCCACCAAAAATTGTGAGACTAAGTTTTCGTGATATAATATATTTTTCCAATCAATAGTCTTGTGAAAGTTACATATGGTAACTTGATTTAAATCACTCCACAACAGGGGAAGGTATTACTTATGCCACGAATTGTTGTGAAATGTCAACTTGTGCTTCATCAGTTAATGTTCAACCGAGGTAAAACAAAAACTGCAGAATTTTTCATCAAGGAACAGGAATATACATGTACTAACAGAAACATTATTTAAATTAAAATTGAAAACTCGACAATTGCACTGAGATATTGTTACAGCAGACTAACAAAGCAGTGCGTCATGAAGTAGAGACAGTTTGCAGTATCTGACAAGCTTTCCTGCAGACCACTGAAGAGCCCACCCTTGTGGCAGCAACATAGATTTAAACTGGAACAAGAATTTAATTTGATATTTAAAGAATTGTTCTTAGAATTTCTGTTCTTTATTCCATAAAAAGAGCTCATTCATCCTAACTTAAAATAGCGTTTTTTGCTCCCTAAACCCCCCAAAAGTAACAAGCCCCAAAGGATGCCAATTCCGAAAGTAACAAGGGTCGTTGCTTTCGGAAGTTTACGGTATGTTGGCAACCAGGCCACATTCTCGCATTAAAAATACCTACCTGAATGTGACTGCACAATAATTTAAGGTGTGCAATGATTCTTTCTAAGTGAAATATAATGATCTCAGTTAAATGCAAAGGATAAAAAAATGTTCATGAAAAGTGGGTATCGTAGTTTCTGGCCAGTACCCTTTCTCATTCAACCATCTCCCACAAAAAAAGATCAAAATAAATTGAACTCTTTTGTGTACAACATTATTACTAAGGCATTATATTCATAGAGTGGTAATGTAATCACTTATTGTACAGCGTGTAATTACTTAGTGGCACATAGTTCACTTGGAGTATTGCTATCTGTTGTAGGCTGTAGTATTCCTCAAGTCATTACGTGGGTCAGATGATATTGCTATGNTTTTGTTTACAAGTAACTATGTTTGGTAACAGCTTTAGAAGCTGGATCTTGGCAGAGGATTCAAAGGCTGGAAATGGTTTAGGAAAAAATAATATTTACAGCTACATGTAAATATTTGGTCTTGAAAAGGTTTGGAGTTTTGTCCTCGCATTTTTGCGTCAAATTGTCAAAATAAATTTGAATAAAGGAGAAACCTGTAGGTATCTAAACACAGACTACTGACAGCATAGGTGATACATATGGTCTGTAATTGGTTTTAATGATCACACGCATATCTTCTCATAATTTGAGCACAATAACATGTTCAGTATCTAAGTGCTATGTTTTCTTCTTCTAGGGAAGTGATGCAAAAAGCAGGGGATGTCCAGTCATCATTGGCCAGAGAACTGGCAGAATACGAAATGCAAGTAGAAAATGATGTTTTGGCACCAATGACATCTCTTCTTGAGGTGATACTATACTATTGTGCAACTATCTCAATTACCTATAACTTGTAAATAGTTTGTGTCATTTGCCTTGTTTTACATTCAGTAACTTTCTTCGTGGCTCTCTTCAAAGGTTACATGTATGTTTAGATCTAGTAGATGTACATTTTACACAGACACCATGGACCTTTATATATTTTGTAATGTTATTGAACTTAATAGTCTAGTTTATCTCTCCCCTGGACAATTTACACCCATTTTCTTCCTGGTCAATTCTTATTCAGTCTGTGCATTTGGTTGTTTTACAGAATGATGTCCCAAATATCACCCAAACAAAGAAGAAACTGACAAAGACCAGACTTGACATGGATACTGTTAAATCAAGGTACAATTAAATTTGCAATATTTTGTCAAGCCTCTTCCTTTTCTTAAAAAAACAACTCAATCCATAAAAATGGTATTTCCTCAAATAAAATAACTGCGTAACTGGGCTCGGCTCTCTTTGAACTAAATATTGTATAATATTGTATAATTAGGGAATACATTGTGATGTCAATTTCCTTGAATTTGCAATTTACTCTTGTTACATCTAGACATACATGTAAAGCATTTACTTACTCTAGCTATCATATTTCCAACGGTTGTATGTACAGTTCTGCTTTATCAACTCATTTAAATAATATACATGTACGTGTAGGTAGTTTATGAATGTCACATGTGCCTTAAAGTGTTGGTTATGTACATATTTGCTACTGAGTAATACATTCATATGGTACTGATTAAAACTTATGGGTCTCCTTTTGTTAAAGAAATTCTTGTGTGTTACCATTAAAAATGTCTAACAGGTATGTGTATTTTTAGATGGCTTGCAGCTGTCAAGGTCTCTCATGGAGCAAATAAAGACTTTCATGTTGCTGCAGCAAAGGCAGATACCCTCAAAGAGGAATACGAGGAAGAAACTGCTAAATTTGAAGCATGTCAAGTGAGCACTGAGTTCTACACACACCTGATGGACTCAATTCTTTCCCATGCACTTGAAACAATGACATCTGAGATTTAAATAAAATAAGTAAAAAAATAAGTCAGCTTAGCAATGCTGTGCTAATTTTGGGACACTGAAATATGCTAAGTAAACAAATATTGTAAATCCCAGTCAGCTGGTAGGATGATGAGCAGTTGGCCATTTTACAAGACATGGAGTAGTTAAATCTGGGACCACCCCACACATATTCATCCTGTGGCAGAGAGGAGGACTTAAGGCCGGGGAGTCTTCTGATTTTAAATCCAATGCCCTAACCATTAGGCCACACTGTTTCCAAATTTCCATTGCTTGCATCTGTACAGAGATCCATGAGGTGTCCATGATGGGTGGTTGTTTGGTTTCAAAATTAAACACACACCCTACAGAGCAGGGACATCATCAGAGTGGAATTTTTCAAGTCAAATCTCGCATGTCTTGCACGTGGGGAAATAATGAAGCATGCAAAGTGAGATCTTCGTTCACCCAGTTGCAGGCTATATCAAGGGTTGCACTTTGCAAAATTGTAATGACTATGCTCTGAAGACCCCCACTGTGACTGAATCTTTAGCTACATGTACAGGTCAAATTGTGTAAAAATTGGGCATTGACGTATTTTAAGACTGAGGCTTTTTGTTCCTTCAGGATACTCTGACTACGGAGCTTTTGAAGTTTGTTGCAAGAGAAGGAGAATACTCCAACTGGATTATCAAGGTGACTGTTCCAAACTTTTCTCCTGTGTGCACTGGAGGTTATAAAGCCAAAACAGTAATAGTATTTGCAGGCTGATTCTAAGTTATTTCTTTTTCAGTTTATTGAAGCTCAGTTGGAATATCACAAGAAAGCAGTGACTGTTCTTGACAACATCTTGCCCACCCTTAAGCAACTTTTGGGTAAGCTGAGGCTTTTTTGTCCTCAAATTGTTGTCATTATTGTGTTTACAACTGTTTAGTAAGGCGTGTTCTGGGTAGTAATCTGGAAACAGATCATTACCACTGATATGAAAATTGACTTCAGACTGGATCCTGTTTTCTAGTTACAGTCATTTCCTTTTTCTAAGTTTGCATTGTCAGCACCATGTGGGTGTCATAGTAGGGCTGACATTATTAACTGACAAGTGGCTTGTCAGTAATAATATCGTAATGAAGATAACCAGGAACTCTGAAAAGACAAAAGGACAACACCAGAGGAGCTAGCCAAGGACATCTTGAAATCATGACTGTCAATTTCGAATGTGTAGCAAGCTTTCTGTAGTCTTGGCCTAATAACACGTCTGCTAGTTAACATTATTGTTGTCTTTATCAAAATAGATTCCACAAATCTTAAAGTAAACCCAGGCAGCAGAAATTTTGGCTACCCTCATAGACTTGCATTGCATGCAAAGGCCCCTGGCTAATAGCTCTTTACACAGAATGCATGTGTATGATATTATTACTGATAATGATCTTTATATTATTTCGTTAGATGAATCAGAGCTTCAACCTGTTTATGGCTGCCCACTGGAGGACCACCTAAGAATTCAGGAAAGAGACATTGCGTTTGTGATTGAAGAATGTGCTACGTTTCTGTACAGAGAAGCCATGGACATTCAAGTAAGTCTGATTTCTTTTCAAGTCAGTTTGCTCTAACATGTAATAACATTTAGATCATTTAAACAACTTAGACTGCTTAGGAAAATGCAGGATTGTCTCTTGTCACACCATTCTTAATTTTTCAACCCAGTAAATTCTGATGAATAGTGCTGCAGAAGCAGATAATCCACTTGGTCAGGTGAGGGGACAGAGGACCCCACTCTGCCATATAGTACCATAAGAACTAACAGAGTTTAAGGTTTAAGTCAAAACTCGGTGTCAAGTCACCCTGGTACCAGATTACTGCTAGCTTGTGTTCAGAATCTCCAATGTTTTGTTTTTGTGTCAGAAAAAGGAACTGCATGAAAAAAGAAAACAAGAAAACTTTTTTGTGTTTTTATTTTCTATTAGGGTTTATTTCGACTGGCTGGTAGTGCTATCAAGATTAGAAAACTCACGGTAAGCTATAGAAGTAAACCACACTTTCTCTTTGATTAACTTGCTTACAAAATTTAATGCTAAACAAAGTTTTTGTGTTGCTGAAGCAGTATGTTTATGTCTGTTGTTTAATTGCAGGCTGAATTTGATGCTGGCTTAGTTGACTTATCAGAGTTTGACAATGATGTTCATGTTGTGACAGGTGTGTTGCCCATGGTAGGGATTTATAGATTGCAGTCCAATTTGTTTGATTAAAATGTGTGTGTTTTTTTTTTTTTTAATCTAACTCTGATCTTATAGGTGGTACCAGTTTCAGGACAGATGTTCGGGGATCTGAGTTCTACCAAATTGATAGTGAATGAAATGTTTTGCTCTGTGTGAATTAATGTCTCCAAACTATTTTTGCCACAACAACAACAAAGTTTTAATTTATGGCTTTGCTTTATTGGACTTGGAGCTGTCTTTATTGTGCAATTTTTCTTCACAGGAGCACTAAAGCAGTATCTTAGAGAGCTTCCAGAACCTCTTATGACTTCTAAACTCTACAATGAATGGATACAGGCTTCAGCGTAAGAATCTATAGTTTAATTGCAGTATTGCTAATGTTTAGCTCTCCACACCCATGGTGCTCATCAAGATCTATGCATGCACTATGGGAACATAATAGTAGACCTAACCTTCTGCACGCATTGCGAGCCTATGATGTTATTGGTTCACATACATGACTGTAAATGTTAGATGTATGCCCAATGACTGTAATACTTTATATAGAAGTTGTTAGCTTAATTGCAGTTCATGTGTTACTGAAGTTTCAATAATTAACATCTCTGATTTATAGTATACAAGATAATGGAACAAAGTTACAAGCCTATTGGACTATTGTAGAAAAGATGCCTCCATTGTACAAAGCCAATCTCAGGTTAGAATTGAGTATCATCAGATCTTGTCCAAGTGTCAATTACTGCATTGTAAGATGCGTTATTTACAAACATGACCCACTGTCAGGCGTGTTCTTAAGCTTACCGCCATCACTTNCCATCCTTTTTCCTACGGTGGATTGTACAAGGTGCACTTTTCTGAAAGTGTGACAACAAGATTGTCAATAGCCATCTAATTTGGGTTTCTCTGTCCTATTTTTTTATTTTTTTATTTTTTTTTTTTCAGATATCTCATAACTTTTCTAGGGAAGCTCTCTGAAAATAGTGAAGTAAATAAAATGAGTGCAAGCAATATTGCTATTGTTATAGCGCCCAACATCATTTGGTCGCCAGAGGATGAAGGGTAAGTTCTTGTACTGTGTCAGCCACAGGGTTGTGTGATCGATAATGAGTCTGAAACTGATGCAAACCCAGACTAACTCAGAGTAAGAGTTCTACTCTGTCTTTCTTTTCAGTGGGGTAAATGTCCAACACACCGGTGTCCAATCGTCCATTGTCGAGGCATTGATTCAGCATTACCAGTGGTTCTTTCCTGGAGGTAGGTGGTGTTCATATTGGGTTACAGTGTAGCCACTTGCTGAGACATCGCGACATTTACTTGCATGTAGAGAAAAAAGGAACGGGCCAGTCACCATTTAGCCCATTTAGCTTCTAGACTGAAGCTAAACCCAACACTCGCGAGCGCACTGAGCGATCGTTTGCCAAGAAAGATCTTTACAGCAGGCTGTGTTGCGTCAATTCAGGTTTCCGTTTAGTTGTATTAACATCTGCGTGTAACTTTCCCACAAAAAATAGGTTGGGTAAACACACTTCTTCTCGCACACTCAACAACAACAACAACAACAACAACAACAACAACAACAACAACGAGCTTTACTTCCTTTATTCGGTCAAATTTTCATTACACTCCTTTCTTTCCCGTTCGAAAGGCGTCCGAGACTGGACCCGAAACATTCCATACTGATGCCGTAACTCTGTACAGATCCGTTCAAGGCGGTTTCTGATTGACTGTTTCTCGGTTTTGAATTTTCCCGCGCAATTGACAACCAATCAGAAATCTCCGTAGAGCTACGTCATCAGTATGGAATTTTCCGGGTCCAATCTCCGACGTCTTTGTGACCTACGATCATACAAATTACCCTCCCTCCCTACATATCATCCCGGGGAAGGAGGACGTTCTTTGTTTTTCCTTCTCCCCCTCCAAAAAAAAAATGACACCTGATCGCAGGCTAAATGAATGGTCGTTAATTTCTCTGGAGCTTACAAGGAAAAAATGCAGCGCGGAAAGAGAAGCGTCTGTCCTGTTTAGTAGCAAGAGCAGTTTGTATTAAGACAAGGCTTATTTGAAGCAGGTACGTTGAGTCAAAGAAATAAGGTAAAGTGATTTAATCTTATTCTTCATATGTTGGTGTTTTTTTTTTTTGGTAGAAATTGACTTCACACGTAAAACAGCTTCAGGGACGAATGGTGTGAATCAGACCATGACTGACAAGAGTTCTCAAGTTAAAAAGGCTTCTGGGGAGTACAAGAGTGTTACTGGGGACTTCTTAGAGGAAGTAGTCAGTCTCATCAATTTGAAGGGTACCGACGGCTGCCCCCAGCCTGCAGACAAGTAAGTAACTAAATCACGAAAACTGCAGAGTTAAATTTAAGGCATTTATTTGACTGTCAGACAGACAGGCAGACATTCATTTGACTGTCAGGCAGACAGACAGACAGACAGACATTTATTTGACTGTCAGACAGACAGGCAGACATTCATTTGACTGTCAGACAGACAGACAGACATTCATTTGACTGTCAGACAGACAGACAGACATTCATTTGACTGTCAGACAGACAGACATTTATTTGACTGTCAGACAGACAGACAGACATTTATTTGACTGTCAGACAGATAGACAGACATTCATTTGACTGTCAGACAGACAGACAGACATTTATTTGACTGTCAGACAGATAGACAGACAAGATGGACGGGCAGTATGACTGACCGACCCGACCGACTGACCGACATGGGCAAACTGCCTAAGAGGCAGGCGCATAAGCGCGTGACCAGTAAAAAGATAGCACTTTTGTTTAAAGGTGGTAAACCTTCATTAATTAAGTTTGTCCTGTCTGGAATTTTAGTTCCGAGGAATCAGATGCAACTAAACCAGCAATAATTAATGTGGAGCAAACCCCTGCGTTAACAGCCAACACTCCTCCAGCAAAGAAAAAGAACGCTCCTGCAGCCTTGGTGAAATTCATGGGCTCCTCCAGTCCTGGACATGCTTCCACTGCTCCACCACTACCCGGTCCCAAGGCTACCGCGACGTCTGTTGGACCGCCGAGACCTGTGAACGCGCCTCCGCCTCCTCCAGCGAAACCTGTTAAAAAAGAAAACAAATAATCGTCTCTTTTTCGGAAATGTTATTTTACAGCGATGCAGATGACTAAACAAACCAAAGAGCACCCATTAGCTCTGAGAGAAAGCATCCAGGACGATGTTTGGCTGTTTGAGGTTTATATATGACTTATATTTCTAGCCTATGAATGTCTCTGATCGCGTTGTGTTGCGTTGTCAATGCCTGTGTCAAGACTATGAGCCACGAGAGGGAAATTATATCAAAAGTGTGAATGCAGTTTCACCCCAGATGTTTCAGAGAGTTAAACTGGCTTTCTAGCGTCAAAACAAGTGCTCTCGTGAGCCACTGAGCCAGGCTACTGGAAGTTTCCGAAGCGGAGAGCCGTGAATAGTCCTTTAAAGACCTTTGTCAATAGTGCTACATTTTTGGTTCTTGTTGATAGGAAAAGTATCCCTTAGCCCGCAGTTCATATTTTTTACCCATTTCTTATTAGTAATAAATCGTGATTCACATGCAATTTCCTCTTACTGAATGCCGTTGATGAGAATAAGAAAACAGATCAGGAGGGGGCAAGCTGTATTTTATATTTGAATCATTTTCTTCTCAGTCAACTGTATCGTCAGAGATATAAGGCAAGTAAGAGAAATTTGTATGTTGACATCCGTTTAAGGGACATGCATTACACTTGCTTGGTCTTAATAATTTTAAAAAATCATCCTCCAATTTTATTCTTTTTAGTGCTAACAACTACATTTTAAAATGGCACATTGCTGTCGCAAAGTTAATAGTCTTAATAAATTCCAGGTTATATTTAGAATTCAGTTATAAACAGATGTCAGTTGCCTTATGACGAATGCGGAAAGTTGATTAAAAGTAATTTTATATTTGCTTTGTTTTGCTGACCAATCAGAGCATATGTACTGTTTTCTTTTTCAGCCAGTCAGAAGCGAAGATCCGTGGTTTTGTTAACGCGCGTTTTCCTGCGCTTGGTGCTGTTTACATGCCTTGGTTTTGATTTTTGATTGGTTCACTCGATGATTAACTATTGCTCTGATTGGCCAGAATGAGATTATTTTCATTCTTGTCTGCAGTAGGAAAGCACTTAGTTATCTCTTTTACTTTACCTAGACAGCTATGCAAGCAGGCGCTCTTTTCCTTTTTAATTCTCTTCTGAGAAAAGAAAAATGGCATGTGTTATTTGAAGATTAAAAAGTATCATATCTCATTTCTTTTTTAGGAATTTTCAGTTGTAAATTCAACGAAGAGTCTTGAACAGGATAGTTTAGTTTGTGTTTGATATGAGATATATATTTTATATTTTTGAACTGAATTATGTACTATCAACGAATTATAATAATTAACTAAATCAACAGAATATCCTGGCAAAATGAAATAGTAGGTTTACAATAACATAATTTGGAATAAAAATCAACTTTCAAAATAAGAAAGATTTACTAGACGAGTTTTTGCGTTAAGAAAGGAACTTGTCATACATTGCAATTGCAAGGAAGCGAGAATCGTTTACGTTGTTCCTAATGATATACAAGAAAATAGTGTATAGCCTTTAAAATTGCTACGTTTTAGCTTTAAAATAACATGAAATAAATTACAGACTACAAATGTTTTGTCGTTCAGATATCTAGTGCGCTTATGACGGATTTAAGGGAAGGTACCCGGGTCCTTTTCAGCAAAACAGTGAGGCCCGAGGGGCCAACGCCCTCTACTTTTTTTCAATCAGATATGTATTAAATCCGGGCCATCGCCTTTCCAGACTACTTTAGGCGAAAGGCAATGTAGATCGGTCACTTTGTTTGCTGGGCTCGGTGTTGCCTTCAATATAAGGCACGATCACTTAATGTTTTGCGTTCCCTGCCCTTTCAGCCATGAAATCTCTTCAGTGTGGGGGCAAATAAAAGGGTACCCCATTTCGGAGGAGGCCTCGTAATCCCGGGGGAACATTCAGTGTTGCGTTTTATGGGCCCGGGGTGGTGCCTTTTCCATAGCCTCAATTTTGGTGCGAAAGGACGCTGGACTGTGAGCTGTCCGAACTCTACTTATTGTTGGGACGTCAGTGTGAAGGATTTTTGACTCCATGTGAGTCCTCTGTTTCACCGTTGAAAAAAGCCTGGATATTTCAGTTGAAAATCAGCACCAAGTTATGAATTTCCGGAAAATCAGGTAGTAGGAAATTTAGGCATATAATTCATCGCCGTACCACCGCGTGACACATTGTGCCGCTTACACAACCACATGTTCTCCCGAAAGGCACGTGATGTCGGAAGGATTTCCATCTCTCAGTAGTGGTTTCAAGTTAAGTTTTAGTTGAGTAAATGTCACATGCTTTTCCGTTTGGCGATAAACGTGAGGTAGAATTACCAGAATTTCCACAAGCAAAGATGCTTAAACCGAAAGTTCTCACTGAAATACTTGGGCAGGCCATTAGTGGAGGAGTGATGAGTTCGTTGTGAGTATGTTGTAAACTTTTCAAGCAGAAGAAGCTTGAGAGAGATCAAAAATAGCTATTAATAATGCTCGTTTGTAAGAGGGATGTCTTTTTGGATGTTGGGAAAAACTGCCGACTGTGTATCTACGGAGCGATAGTTAAAGTTTTCAAAGATCAGATACCACTTTCGATAAGCTTAATTTGTTGTTTTAAACTTTGAACACGTCCAACATAAGCTTGAGCTTAAATCGCTTACATATTGAATTTATGGAGATATTCAGATTGACTTAAAGTTCGTGGTACCATTCATACCTATTTGCTTGTCATCTGGGAGGTAGTAACTGGGTAAAGGTCAAAATTTGATCACACAGGCTGTCGAAACTGGCTTGTCCACCATGTCATGACTGAATGAACTACAATAATATTCACCAAAAGCTTTTGGGACAATTAACAAAGTAACACTCAATTGTCAATTCTTTTTGGGCATGCAGTAAGCTTATATAATTTAGTTTTCTTAACTATCCCCTCACCTTTGCCCTTAAAACAAAGCAGTGATGTCATTGGCTGTGTAGAACACAACATGATAGAAAGGGGTGGGTGAGTGGGGCGGGAATGACAAGGACCATTTTCTGTCAAAGGGGTGAAATGTTCCAACAAATTTGATGTTGAAATCACTGCCTATAGCTTCTGAGGACTCGTGCTGATTTGTAGCTTGTTGAACCACAATCTCATTCCTCAAGTCTTTGTTTCTTATAGTGTAAGCTAGGAAATAACACAATATATTGCAGTTTGCATAATTTTTACCCTCAGTCTGCAGTCCACAGTCCTCGTTTTACACTGACCAAAACAAGTGACTCTTTAAAGTATTGTTACAGGCTCAATTTTGATTGGTTTGAAAACAAAGGAAATGAGTGCTAGTAAAGCATCACTTCAGTAACTTGATTGAGGCAGGTCTTTAAACTGGAAGCCTGATAATTGCGAACTTCCAATCAGAACTTTCCTGTGTCACTTGTTTCCCGACTGCTGGTCAAGGGGAACAAAGGGTTGCCTTGGTGAGGAGCTTACTGACATTGTGCCTTGAAATCCATCACACAGGCTTATCAACCAAGAGGGGTCATTGTTATCATATGCTGGATCAGGAGACAGAGACGCCAAAGTCACAGCAGCTATTGCTTCTAGTATATGGGCAGCTTACGAAAAGAATGGCAAAATGGCTTTCCACAATGATGAACTTAAAGTGATCTTCATGGACTGTGAGGTTTGTATCTGTTAAATTGCGATAGCTTTTGAAACTGAATTTGTGGCATTTGCATTGTAATGCATGGTATGTGTAACACTGAGGAGAAGATAAAGCATTCATTTGGTAAACAGCGTAGTGTACAAATGTACAGCATATTAACAGTACATGTACACAGGAAAGTGCTCTTTGGTAGCTTTAACTTGAACAGTCATGCATGAAAGGATAATTTTCAGTACGATATGAGTTCAGAGTAGTTCTCAACTTCCTTAACTAAACTGGAATGAGTGTTTGGACACTGTAAAGGAATCTTTGTTTGCAATATTTGCCTCATCAGGATAAATGATTCATTCTCTGATCAAGCTACAAAAATGTGAATCCAAATAAAAGGGCATAGCAAGATTTACTGTCCCAAGGAATTTGAGCCTAACATGTATAATTTTTCCTTCGATATAGGATCAGAAGAAATCAAAACTTTGCAAAAAATTATGAACTTTTGCCTTCCAGACATTTTGCGTTTTTTTAATTCAATATCTCCTTGAATATTACACCCTGGAAGGGGCAAAAAAATTTCACCAATTACTAAGTTCCATATTAAGCTCTTTTTAAAAATATTTGGAATCATTCGTATTTACCATGATGCCTTCTCTGCACAAAGTCATTTGCTGATGAGGAAAAAAATGTATAAACTAAGTTACGATGACGTCAGCAGCGATTGTTCCATAGAGGTTCTGCTCAATAGCTTAGATTTGAATGGTTACATTAATCCACCAAGGCACAAACCTAGCTTGATAACTTTTATTTGAATGGCGATGCCAGCCCTTGAAACTTTTTTAATAAGAATTATGGATGTACTATTTAAGAAGGTGTGCTACATGTAAATCAACTTACATCCCCCATGTAACAATGAAAGAGATAGATTTTTTTAATTTTCCAGGATGGAAAAGTTGCCATCACGAGAGTTGCAAACCTAATCCTATGTCTATATGCACAACAATCTGTAGGACTTGGAATGCTCAAGGCCAAGGTATTGACTCTACAGTAATTATATTCTAGACTACAAGTAGTCAACCTCTCGTCTATTTAGTTGATCAAGAAAGCGTAAAAACCAAAATCAAATTGAAAAAAATATCAAAGGCAAGAAGCAAGAAGATCGCTTCCTGCTCAGAAAAGGTAAAAGAGGGACTGTTCTGTGCAACCTGCATCACCAAAGTTGTCACTTGACTTACCCTCTTTTTGTAATGCTGGCATTAAAATAGTTGTCATTGAATTTTTCACTGTTATTTCTTACTTGAATACTGAGAATCAGAAACAACGCCTGTTCCCCTTCCATTTCAAGTGGCAGTTGCTGCGTATTGTAGTTTTGTTTGAAGTATGTTTTAGCTAGATTAAGCAACAAATAAACAGGACCAAGCTTATGTGTCATGGCAGATTAAACTGTTGCTTTTTTCTGTCAACAGGCAGAGGCTCTAGCATCATACCTTGAACAACCACTGAAACAAGTTGCAACATCATGACATGTTGTGAGAGTTAATTAATTTAATATTAATAGTATTACACAATTTATAATTATGGTTGCTAAATAGTAAATATTTCCAACAACTTACAAGTGATCTATTGGAAAGGATGACTGTAGTCTGTAACAGACAATCTCATGTTTTCAGCAAAATATATAGCAAACCAGAGTTTCCTATTAATACTCTCAACTGATGACTTGGCACAACACAGCTTTAAAATGTGCATATTAATTTTTCCAGAAAATATCCATACTCCCCCATGGAAGGGATTGGAATTTTTTGGAGTAGGCAGGGTTTTGTAAGACCAAAAAATTTGAAGAAATGTGTGAAGCTTAATTGAAATTCCCCGTGGGGTTGGGTCGAGGGTGGGGGTCTGAGAAAAAAATTCCCTTCTGTGGGGGAGGTATGGATATTTTCTGGAACTACAGTGTTCCTTACTACGATAATTTACTTTACTTATCAATCAGCTTAACGCTTAGATGAAAAAAAGAGTTAACGTTTGCAGAGTTTTCTTTGGCCAATAAATATAATACTGTACAAGTTTGAAGGAATGTAAGAACATGAATTGTCTTGATGAGCTACTAGTTTTTATGAAGTGCAGAAACTATCAAAAAAAAAAAACTTAAATAAAGTTGCAAATAACCTATCTGAGGAAATTATTGGTAAAAGTGTGTTAGATTTAATACTGATGTTTAAGAATTATGCCAAGAAATGTCAGGGACAAAAAATATTCTGTCATCCATGTTTATATTGTTGTTTCACTTTTTGGACTTGACATCTCATCCTTCTTTAACTGATTTAAAGCATACAAGAGGAATATACAAGATCTGTAAAATATAGGTCAGTTCTTTAACATGCAGGCTTTTTTAATAAAACATTTTCACACTGTGGTTACTGTCTTCAGTGAGTGATATGCATGTGCTATTTGTTCAGCAACTATGTTTCCTACTGCTGCTAATGCATGCATGGACCAGCTATAATCCTAGATAATGAGTAGTGCCTCTTGCGCTTATTCCATCAAACAAGACCGTAAATAAACAGCAGGGAAAACTTGACAGCACGAAATCCCCCTTTTGCAAGCTTCTCGCCCCCACAATTTTGCACCGCCATTTTCTTCCACAGTTTTCTTTCACGTCATGCGTGACGCACAAAGAGATAGAGGGGCTACTCGTAGTATAGTTATTTGCACATAATAAATGCATAAACAAGCTCAGATTGGCTAGGTAAGTCACGTGGTGTTTAGCCTACATGTAGATATCTGCTACTGACTGTGTTTCACACAGAGGTGGTAATCTTAGAGACACCTGCACGCAAGCTACTTTGTGTATGCTGGATACTTCAGAGCTTGTTCCAGATGCTACCGAAAGAGCAGAACTGATGAGCACTAAAAAGAGAGGGGTACTTAATTTCATTCCTGCATACTTCTGACTTCCAGCTTGTCTGTTCTAGTGCTTTTTTGCTCAAAAAGATTTGCACTTTGCCAGAAAATAGTATTGAAACTAAACATTGTGGAAATTTTACAAATGCTAATTTGGACAAGCAAAACCACCAATCTCAGATGGATAAGGCCGAGACAAACCCCTAGAAAGCCTTCAACCCCCAACAACACATGGAAGAGAAGTGCACTATCCTAGATAGACAAGATTAAAATGGGGACAGGTGGAGATAGTGGCACAAGACAGATAACCTTGAATCAATTTTAAATATATTTTCAAAAAAACAATCCACTAAACATTACACTCCTAACAAACATAACATTCCCCATCACAGTACACTGAGTGCAAAATTATACAAACCACAACACAAGGTCAAACTTAGCATTTTATTTTAAAACAACATTACAACTTCGGTTAATTTAAATGAATAAACTCCATAAATGCCCCACTGGTACTGGTAGAATAACTTCTACATGACTTACTAGCTTTGAGATTGAATTTTTCGTTTTTCTCTGTTGCAACAGACTTGACCGTAAAACTAAAATACAGTGCTATAATACAGAATTCTTAGAGATTGCGTTTCATGATCGAAAATTTCAATCCTCTAGAATCAACACTGACATGGCTACTAGACACAGTGTATATAAGCATAACCCATGTACTAATGGCATTTAAGGTAACAGTGACATTTGTGCATTCAAAAGAACAAAATGTTGCTTGAGACATGCAATAGTGAGTGTAAAATCCATCACGACAGTGGTATTCAGTTCAACATGCCTTATACAAAAGGAAAACCACAAGTTAAAGTAATGGTGTTAGTCAGGAAGATTATGTCTACTATCATTCGTCACTGTCATCATGCTTGTCCCCAGGGGATGGTGCCCGTGCTGGCTCAGGAGATTTGGAAGGTGTTCTGGAGCGCTTCTGTCCACGTACAGGTGATCTGGATGCAGAACGACTCTTGGAACGAGAGTAAGACCTGCAAGTCAGATGGAATAATGGAATCGAGTTACCCGCTTAAAAAAAATTTTTTTTTCCTTTTTCTCATACTGTAAAAGCAGGTACATAGAGTAGAAGAGATTTTTTCCTGTTTCTTTACTTAGAATTTGACACGGGCTGAAAAACTGTTAACAAGTACTTACTTTGAACGCCTTCTTGGTGAATGGGAGCGAGAACGTGACCTCGGGGAACGAGATCGAGATCTTGGAGAACGAGAGCGAGACCTAGAACGTGAACTCCTCCTGTAACTACGTCTTGGAGGGGAACTGTGGTGGCCTTTATCCTGCAAGAAGATATGTTTGTTTAATGGTACACTACACAATACCAATTTAATCATTTTATATCTGAGAGTATGATACATACTGACAAACAGACTTTTGTTTAGGTTTAAACCTGGCTGACAAGAAAAGGGTAGGGAAAGAGCAGGAAAGAAGCCAAAACAATTTCCTAAACCAAACCAACAGAACAACGTTAGATGCATGAGCATGTAGTAATGTGAAAAATCAGGAACACGATGCCCACAAGGCCATGTACAATAGTGGCTCTTTTGTCAGCAGATACATTAACTTACTTCAGTTAATCGTATCTTCTTGCCCCCAAGCTCTGTGTTGTCAGCTTTCCTGATGCAGTCCAGCATGTCATCGCGACTCTCAAACTCCACAGATCTAACAAAACACAAGACTGACTTCAATACAAGTTCATGTAACCAAGATTGCTACATTGAGTATTTTACCCTTTTGGTATTATACAAGGCTGAATTATTTTTGCTTTATACATACTATACATTTAATGCTGCAAGGCAATGAAAAAAATCCAAAAAAAATAATTGATCTCACCCTTCTCCTACTCTCTTTTTATGTGCATCAGCGTAAGTCAATTTGGCATTGCTGACCTGGCGAAGGTGGTCTTTGAGATCCTGTAATAATAAAATAAGACGATGGTTAAAAACTAAAAGAAAGGTACCAAATAAAACTACACTCGAAACATACTATATAGCAAACGTGGTCAAATGCAATAATTTTATTTTATATATCTTTAAATGTTTAATAACATCAACAATGCATTGAACACTGCTGGTTCGTAGTGATTATCTTCAATTTAATTTAAACAAC